TCCTTGGCAAGAAGTGCAAGAAATAAAAGATAGTAGATAGTAGTATAAACTTGAAGTATTAATATTATATTGCTAGTATATTATGGGAATAGTATTGGTCTAAGAAAAGATTCTATGAACTTGTCTACTTTACAAAAACTTGTAAAAAATCAATTATAGCTTTAAAACTAGCAAATAATATCTTTAAAACATGTTTAAAATATTTTTTACTAATTATAGGTTTATAACTAGTAATTGTTATATTATAATAATGTTTTTCTAAAAAAACATTATCATAATGTTGTAATTACAAGTTAATAACTAGTTGTTAACTTATAATTATAATGCTATATTAATATATTTTTTTTTTTTAAAAAAAATATATTATTATAATATTGTAATTATAAGTTAGGCCACACCAAGTTAAAACTCTGTTTAACATAACCCCCTCCCCCTCTTTTTGACTCAGATAGAGGGGATAATAAACAACACTTAATATAAAAATCATATTAACTGTTTAAAAAAAAATTTTTTTATCCAATCAAATCTCATGTTTTTTACTCCCCTCCTTATGTTTAGAGTTGCAGATCATTTATTAGTGTTATGTTAAACAGAGAATCAAATTGGGGTGGCCTTAACAACTAATTATTAACTTGTAATTACAATATTATTATAATATTTTTTTTAAAAAAACATTATTATAATATAACAATTACTAGTTATAAATCTATAATCGTAAAAAATATTTTAAACATATTTTAAAAATATTATTTGCTAGTTTTAAAGCCATAATTAATTTTTTAATAATCAAACTTTTTTATAGCAAATTACTAAACAAATCATAATAAGTTTAATATTAAACTAATATAATTCAGTCTAAATTACTTATATAACTATAGTTGATAAATATAGTAACTAAATTTTTTAAAACAAATTTTTATACAAATTATAATAAATCTAATAATAAACTAAAAATAATCCAAAGGTGTAGCAACTTAAAGTAATAGTTGAATTGTCACAACTCCAAGCTAGCTTGACTATAGTACTAAGTTCAAATTCTACTAGTAATAGTTTAAACAAAAATACTTTTATCATAGTAATAAATCTTTATTAATAAGTTAGCTTTTATTATCTGTAACTTTGGTTATACTAATATATCTTGTATACTAGAAGATTCTAGAAGTATTTGTATTATACAGAAAAATGCAAACTAGTTTAGATAACTGCAAATCTATAATAAAACTTTTAGAATTATATAAAACTAACAGAAAGAACTTGAAGATTCAGAACTAATTTAGTAAGATCTAAGCAAAAAAGTAATAAAGGTCTTTAATAATATTACAAAACAGATCTGAATTAAGTTAAAAAATTAGTAAAATTAACCAACAAGATTTTATAATAGAAGATCTACCAATCTGGCTACTGGAGTTGCATTAAAAGAAAAAAATATATACTCTAGAGGCAATACTGAGAGAAAAAGACTCAAAAGATATCTAAAGTCTAAAAAAACCAACTCTATTAAACTAACTAAATTGAACAAATAAAGCTATAATATAAGTTACCAAAAGTTTAAATAAAGTATATATAGGATATATACTATTCTAGTGCAGAAATAAATATCTTTCTGATTCTAAAAAAGAAACTGGATACTAGAGATTAAAGTTTCAGGTTCTAAAATGAAAGAATTAAATATAGATATCATGGTACAAATATAGGATTAGAGGGTTTAAATAGATAATTTTTTAGTAAATTACAGATACAGCTACTAGTGTAGAATCTTAGTGCAAACTACTTAAATAAGCAACCAAAAGTTCTATATATAGTTAGTTGTACTTTTACAATATAAATATAATATAGCTTAGTTTGTACTAAGTATTATGTTTAGTATTATTAAAGTATTAAGAATTTAAGTACTCATCTTAATATTTAAAAAAAAAACAACGAAAAATAACTCTATCTAAATCATTTATACCACTATAGCTCATAAGTATAATAGCTAAATTTTTTATAACAAATCACTATACAAATTATAATAAGAGTAAAAATATTTATCACCTGATTTTTTTTTATTAGAGACTTATTTCTCTCTAGTTTTTAATATATAATTAATCAGGTGTTATATATAAAATTTTAATTTTTTTGATCCTCTCTCTTTCTAAAAAAATTATCTAATAAATGTCTATATTTAAGTCCAATATCAACTAACATATCTCTATCTAAATTACTTATATTACTATAGCTCATAAGTATAGTAACCAAACTTTTTATATAGCTCTACACACAACCACAATAGTCAGTAAGTATAGCAACCAAACTTTTTATAGCTAATCACTATACAAACTATTATAAATTTAATACCAAACTAATATAACTTTATCTAAATGACATGCTATCATAGCTTATAAGTATAGTAACTGAACTTTTTACAGCAAATCACTATACAAATTATGATAAGTCCAATATCAAACTAATATAACTCTAAACTTATGCAATCACAATAGTTTGCAAGTACAGTAACTGAACTTTTTATAGCAAATCTCTATACAAATTATGATAACTCCAATAACAAACTAAACATAAACCTATCTAAATCACATATATCACCATAGCCCGTAAGTATAACAACTGAGCTTTTATAGCAAATCACTATACAAATCATGATAAGTCCAATACCAAACTAACATAACCCTATCTAAATCACCTATGTAACCACAATAGTCTGAAAGTACAGTAATCAACTTTTTATAGTATCATTGTACAAATTAAAAAGTCCAATACCAAACTAACATGACCTTATCTAAATCACTTATGCAATCACAATAGTGTGTAAGTACAGTAATAGAATTTTTTACTGCAAATCACTATACAAATCACAATAAGTCTAATACCAAACTAACATAACCTTATCTGATCACTTATGCAACCACAATAGTTAGTAAGTACATTAACCGAGCTTTTTAATGCAAGTTCAATACCAAACTAACATAATTCTAAATCACTTATGTGGCCAACATAGTCGGTAAGTATACTAATCGAACTTTTTTACAACAAATCACTATACAAATCACGATAAGCCCAATACCAAACTAACATAACCCTATTTAATCACTTATGCAACCAGTAAGTACAGTAACTGAACTTTTACAGCAAATCACGATAAGTCCAATACCAAACTAACATAATTCTAAATCACTTATGCAATCACAAAATAGTCTGTAAGTACAGTAACCGAACTTTTTACAGCAAATCACTATACAAATCACGAGAAGTCCAATACCAAATTAACATAACATCTAAATCACTTATGCCACCATAGCTCATAAGTACAGTAACCGAACTTTTTACAGCAAATCACTATGAAAATCACGATAAGTCTAATGTCAAACTAATATAATCCTATCTAAATCACTCATGTATCTAGCGAGTAAGTACAGTAACCGAACTTTTACAACAAATCACAATAAATCACGATAAGTCCAATACCAAATTAACATAAGCTTATCTAAATCATTTATGCAACCACAATAGTCTATAAGTACAGTAACCGAACTTTTACAACAAATACGATAAGTCCAGTACAAAACTAACATATCTATATCTATATAACTATGTCACTATAACAAGTAAGTACAGTAACCGTAAATTTTTTGTAGTGAACCAATCCAAATCATGATAATTCTAATGCAATAAATAATTGTTAACCCATAATAGACAGTATATATTATTTTATTAAATTTTAGTTTTAATTATAGTTATATTAATCATTTTATTAAATTTTAGTCTTAATTATAGTTATATTAATCATTTTTAAATAATCTATCAAGATTTGAGAAAAAATTTCATAATTGGACAAGTGATGAACATGACATTGATCAATATATTCTATCGATCAAAGAATTTCATAATTGGACAAGTGATGATCATGACATTGATCAATTAATTCAACAAATACAACTTAATGTAGTAGAGTGTAAAGATATTATCGAATGGATACCCTTTAGCAAATTTGCCAATATAAAATATATTGCTAAAAGAGGCTTTGGTACTGTTTTTAAAGCAGTATGGATTGACGGATATATTATAGGATTTGATCAGCAAAATAATGAATAGAAGAGATGTTCGCAAAAAGAAGTTGTTTAAAAAGTCTTGATAATTCCAGAGATATTACACGAGAATTTTTAGAGGAAGTAAGCATCTAATTTATAATTATTAATATTTAGGCCATACAAACTTAATTACTTGGTTTTCATAACATGAAATTTTAAAATAGACCCGGCCGGCCGGCTTTTTTAAAAAAATTTCATATATAAAATTTATAAAATTTATATAAAAAATTTTTTTTAAACCCACCCGGTTATTACAGCTATTATCATAACTTCTGAAACACCTGATAAAAAATTTGCCGGATGATTTTTAGCCGATCCGATTAAGTTAGTGATTTCGGCAAAATAAAGATTCAACAAATTGATACGATGCATGATTTAAGATCAGATGACTAATATAAGTATTATAAGACTGCATACGTCGTACGTATGAATTTCTGGTTGAATACAGAAAGATGGTACTTTCAAAGCATCTTCGCTGGAAAATAGTAGAAAAAAATTTAGAAGGCTTATCCGTTCGAAAAATTGCTAAACACTTGGGTGTTAGCATAGCTTCTATAAGTCGAGTTATCAGGCACTTTCAAAAATATGGATGTGTTGAAAAACTTCCATCGTTTTCAGGAAAGCCACGTTCACTAAATATGAACGATATAAAATATCTTAAAGTTTTAATGAAGGAAAAACCTGACTGGTATTTGTATGAATTACAATCCGAGATGGAACTTTGGTTGGGACATAACATTAGTCTTATGACAATTTGGAGAGCTATACACCGACTTGGATATACGCATAAAAAAGTAATATTTTTATATTTATTTATTTTTATTTTATATAAACTTATTAAAAATTTTAATTTTATAGATCTCAAAGCTTGCCAAAGAAAGAAACGAAGTTGATAGAAATAATTTCGTTTTACGGATGTCACAATACATACCAAGTCAATTGGTTTTTTCAGACGAAACTGCTTATGACAGAAGAACATTATCACGTCGTTATGGTTGGAGTTTTTCAGGGCAGCGTGCTCAAAAGCATACATTCTTTGTTCGTGGAAGAAGATTTACTATAGAAGGCGCACTGTGTACTGAGGGATTTCTAGCTTATTGTATTCAAGAAGGTGCAATGAACTCTAATGATTATGAAGATTTTATTG